AGCACCCCAGCTGCTCTGCCCCAGGCGTCCCCAAGTCAGCTTCTGCTGAAACTGACCAGCGCTGACTACAGGAAGCCCCAGGCAGAGTTGCTCTGCCCCGGGCTTCCTGGAATCAGCTGCTGATCAGTTTCAGCAGCAGCTGACTTGGGGACGCCTGGGGTTCTTAAGTTGATTCTGTATGTAAGTCAGAACTGGCGGTCAGTTTCAGCAGTGTCTGAATCTGGACGCCAGTTCCGACTTACATACAGATTCAACTTAAGAACAAACCTACAGTCCCTATCTTGTACGTAACCCGGGGACTGCCTGTATAGTCAATGAAAAAGGTTCAACTAGAAATTTGTTGTGAATTGTTAAACTTGCATTTGAGCTTCAGTAACCCCTTTTAATAAGCATTGTTAGGAACAGTCTGATAGAAACTAGTGCTTATGTGTAAAATCCAATGTGAATCTTTACTGGTGTCTTAAACAGTTGCAGTTTAATTAAGGTTCAGTCACTCTCTATTTTGGGTGGGATGTATGCATTTTGTATCAACAAGTATAAAGCTGTTGTTTAATCAGCTTTATTGTACCTGCTCATCTTTTTGCCATTTATATATTCATTCTTTTTTAATAAAATTTGTATACGTTTTCTGACATTTCTGCTTTCAAACCAGTTCTATTTCTTGCATGCTGTGCAATATGAGTGGCATATACTACACATGTAGATGAGAAATTCTAAAATGTGCTTTAGATTATGCTGTGCATATATCTGATGTGTTCTACAGTAAATTGTGACCCATTTTTAGGATCTTTATCCTCAGAAAAGTGCATTTTTGTATCCATTGTGAAGCAGAGGAACAACTTTGTTTTTGGAAACTCACTATAAAATGGCTAAAATACCATCTGAACAAAGTCATAAAGACCAGAGTCAGTTTAATTGTGTAAAATGTGCATGCAATTTTGTGCTTCATTTTTGCATGCGTATACTTTTAGCCAGGTGCGACATGACTGCACATGTAAACATGTCTTGGAGGATCTGGGCCTATGTGCCAAAATGACTTGAAAAATCTGGTCTTAAATGTGTAGCATGGCGAAGATGACTTGCCAAATTTGTTATTTAGAACTGTGCTTCAGATTTCACGACTGTATGAGTGAACCTAAGTATTTGTTATTTATTTAGTAAACCCAGCTCACATAGTACAGGTTGTTCCTGGTCCAGCACCCTCACACTTGACCAGTCTTGAATCATGGAATCTGCCGGACCAGCCTTTCTGCTGCTGCCAGTTGCAGGGCTCTGCTCCGGAGGCAGCAGAGGGGCTGGCATTAATCAATCAGGGGCAGGGGTGTGTGTGCTTAGAGGAAGAGGCAGGGTGACTGTGGAGACTTGAGGCTGGGTGCCAGGAGTGCAGCCCCATGGGAGTGCACTGAGCCCTACAGTTGCCAGGCTGTGCTCCTTGCCCCTGACAGCAGGGCTCTGCAGCTACCCTGTCTCTTCCCCTGAGCATCCCCCCAACCCTACCTCTCCCTGAGTTTGAGCACTGCAAATGAACTATTTGTGGTGCTCTGGAAGCTCTGGGACGGCAGGAGAAGAGGCTGAGCATAGGGTCCAGCTTTTCTGTGTGAGTACTCCAGACCCAGAGCGCCCAGGAGGATGCCAAACCACAGCTGTTGCTGGACTACAGAAGTTATTACTATTGTACAGGTACAACCTGTATTTGTGTTTGTTTTTCATAAACTTTTTTTTACCTCCATTTATGTGTTTATAATAACACAAGAAATGTTCTCAGGGTATCTTCACTATCCAGGAAATGAAATATTTCAGGGAGATGAGATATGTATTGCTGCTTTGTAAATGGCTTTTTGAAACATTATTATATGGGGGGGGGGGGGAGGAGAAACGAATAAAAGCTTTTGCAATTTGCCAGAACCTGTGCTCATATACTTAATGATGATAAGTCTAAAATTATTTGGCTTTATAGTCACCTACAAATTAACAAGCTTTACATCTCATCTGTTTCTTCATGAAATGGAGTATTTGATTCCTACCATTGTGCAGTTAGCGCCATTTTTCAGCCCTTGATTTCAGGCTTGCAATTGTCACTGTTGTTATAGATTGGAGTCTTTTTTTCTTCCCTCTGGATATGCAATTCACATTAACATGAATGAGAGTTGCATACACTGACATACTGCCTATATGCCCTTAAGCTTTCCCTTTTAACTTAATTGGTTGAAATCTATAGAATGAATTAATAAGTCAGAACTGGTTGATTAAAATAACATTCTACAGATAACAGAAGAGAAATGTGATTGACACTGATGTTAATAGCTGTCACAGTCAAACATTTTAATGCAGTTTAATCAGTCTTTCCTAGTAAGTAAATTGGGGATACTACTACTGAGCTTCTTTGTAAAGCACGTAGGGTGCGTCTACACTGCAATACAGGCAGTCCCCGGGTTACGTACAAGATAGGGACTGTAGGTTTGTTCTTAAGTTGAATTTGTATGTAAGTCGGAACTGGCGTCCAGATTCAGCCGCTGCTGAAACTGACCAGCGGCTGCTGAATCGGACACGCCTGGGGCAGAGCAGCTGGGGTGCTGCTGGGTTGGTCCCGCAGCGCCG